TTGCCAGGCAGAAAGATCCATGGAAAGGGTGGAGCATAGGGAACTGGGTGCTGAGCAGCTTCAGGCTCACCTTTCTGATGTTTGACTGGTGCTGAGGTGCCCTGGTCACAGAGCAGGATCCCCCTGTGCTGACCACAATCCAAACACAGCAAATTCATAGCTCCTACCTCTAGCAGCTCCCAGACTATGACCCTGTATTGCATTTGCCATCGCCTTCATCACATGGCTGTTTTTTTTCTGTCTCATCTGCTCTTGTTTCTTCTTCAGGAATCCCGGAAAGCCTGTGCAGACACAACACTTGCTCAGGTAAGGAACAAGGCTGGCTGGGCAGGTGAGTGGGGGAAGAGGGGGGTCAGCTAGCTCCACTCCAAGGGGGACTGTCTACAGTCGGGAAGCAGAGTTAGGAGGTAAAGATGTGGGGAGCAGTGAAGCTTCTGCCAGTCCAAGATTAATTCTTTCTCTCCCTCTGCTCTTTCCTCAGATTGTGTCTGGAGTGGAGGTTGTTGGGCGCATTCAGATGCGAACCCGAAGGACGCTGCGTGGGCACCTGGCTAAGATCTATGCCATGCACTGGTCCACGGACTCCAAGTGAGAGATACTGCTGATCTGCTGGGTGCAGGGCAACGCAAGGGTGTGAAGGGCAAGAAGGCTCTGAGGGGAAGAGAGCCACTAACATGATCTTGTTCCTCTCCCACAGACTTCTGGTCAGTGCCTCACAAGACGGGAAACTGATTGTGTGGGACACATATACAACCAACAAGGTAGGAGCCAGGCGGCTGCAGCAAACCGGGATCTGGAGTGGGTCCCCTCAGAGCCAGCGCCCTTGCCCTGCTCTCTCTGCTGCCAGAGTCCCAATGTGGTTTCTTGTCCTCCCAGGTTCATGCCATCCCTTTGCGTTCTTCCTGGGTCATGACCTGTGCCTACGCCCCCTCAGGCAATTTTGTGGCCTGTGGGGGCCTTGACAACATGTGCTCCATCTACAGCCTCAAGACTCGCGAAGGCAACGTCAAAGTGAGCAGGGAGCTCTCAGCCCATACAGGTGTGTGTGCTGCCTACCTACAACCTGGGTGCCCTCTCCTTCCAAACTGCACTCTTCCAGCCCTGCCCCATTTCTCATATATGCCCACTCCCCCTTCCCAGGTTACCTGTCCTGCTGCCGGTTTCTTGATGACAACAATATTGTGACTAGCTCTGGAGATACCACATGGTGAGTGTTACCGAGTGATACTCTCACCCATTTTCACATGTTGTAGCCAGGCACATGGCTTCCCTCCATTCCTTTGGGAGGGGGACAGCTTTTTGGCCTAGCTGCAGATGTGAGGGTTGGCTCTGAGAAGTGCTCTCCTCTCCTGCAGCGCTCTCTGGGACATTGAGACAGGGCAGCAGAAGACTGTGTTCCTGGGTCACACTGGAGACTGTATGAGCTTGGCCGTCTCCCCAGACTTCAAACTCTTCATCTCTGGGGCCTGCGATGCTACTGCCAAACTGTGGGACGTGCGGGAGGGCACCTGCCGCCAGACCTTTTTGGGACATGAGTCCGATATCAATGCCATCTGCGTATGTATGCTGTCCGCACAGCGGTGGGGAGGCAAGGGAAATAAGGGTGGACCAGCTCTGAAACAGGGTTTTGAGATAAGGAGGAAAGAAGCTGTCACAGCTGTGTGGAGAACAAGGGTCTCCATAATCCTGTCTGAAGCAGGGAGGGCCTGAGTTTGCTGGGCAGACACACAAAAGGAATGTGTATGAGAAGGTTGGCGTATGAAGATCAGACAGAGGAAGGTTCTCATAGCTCTGAACTATGCCAAACCCTATCTAGGGGGATAATGGGTGCATTTGTCAAACCCCAAAATAACAGCCGGAGTGAAAAATAGACAACAATGCTTCCTCAAACACTGGAATGTCTTGCTCTAGCCTCTAGATCATTTGCTTTCTTGAGGTGGAAGGGTTCTACTAGGTCTTAGGAGGAACATCAGCCTCCCCCTTCAGCAGACTCAATTTTTATGATCCAGTGTCTTGTCCCACTGGGTTTCCCTACCTCTGTGGCTTCCTGATGGTTAGCAGGGAAGCCACGATGTCAAGGAAATCTGTAAAAGGCATGGCCTAATTAAAATCTGGTGTGTGCCCTCCTCAGTTCTTCCCTAACGGCGAAGCCATCTGCACCGGCTCGGATGATGCCACCTGCCGTCTCTTTGACCTGCGGGCAGACCAGGAGCTCATAGTGTACTCTCACGAGAGCATCATCTGTGGGATCACGTCAGTCGCCTTCTCCCGCAGTGGGCGCCTCGTGTTTGCTGGGTATGATGACTTCAACTGCAACATCTGGGACTCCCTGAAAGGAGAGCGTGTGGGTGAGTGGCTCCTGGTGGTCCCTCCTTCATTCCCTGCAAGGTCTTCTGTCCCTACCAAGGCAAGGAAAAGGCCTTTATTTTTCTGAAAAGGGACACTGAAACCCAACAATGCTTTCTCACACTTAAGGAGCATACCATAAGTAATATAACTCCTTTGTGTAGAACTGTTGTATTTAATGTTAAGGAAGTCAAGCCTTTAAACAACATTTCAAGGTTCCTATTAGCTAAAACTGCTGACAAGCACCAGTAGCATCTCATATTTACTCCTAGCCTCGGCTGTTTACCAGTTCCAGCTACTCACAGTGGCCAGGCACCAAGCTGAGCATGGACCTGGGCTTCCATCCAGCATCTTTGGATACTCTGTGAGGCTCATACACAGAATCCACCCTAGTGCCATTTTTTTCTCTCAGATGTGGTCTCGAGCCTCTGAAAACTTGTAACACAGCCCACCAACGGCATTGCTACTTCTCAGTGTTAGCAAGGATGTCATCCTTTCTTAGGCCTACCATCACACCAGGGTGAAAGCGGTTGTATGAGGATTCAGCTAGCCAGACCTTCCCAAAAACATTGTTCTCTGGCCAGTCCCGTGGGTGGTGGTTGTATGTTGTGCACAAATGTTCTTCTGCAGGTTTGTTCTTGTTAGCCACATACTGATCATAACATGCTGTGCAAGGACAGAGAGCATGATACACAGGGGTGTAGGTACACCATCTACTATGAGCATTCTCAGCATGGTCAACCCCTTCGTCTCTCCCAGATCCCACTTCTCTTCCTGATCTCTCTTCTTTCCCCCATCCCATAGGGATCCTTTCTGGCCACGACAACAGAGTGAGCTGCCTGGGGGTGACGGCAGACGGCATGGCTGTCGCCACCGGCTCCTGGGACAGCTTCCTCAAGATTTGGAACTTAAAGAGCAGCGGAAGCACGGCCCACAGCCCGAGCCCATGCACACAGCACCAGCAGCTGAGCACAACAGAAACGCCTCCCTGCCACTCCCGCTTGTCTCTAGACACAGGTCACTTGTAGGGGTCTCCCAGTGCGAAAGGGAGAGGAGAGGTTGGGGCTGGGGAGTGGGGAGCACATACAAACACACACTGGCCCTCCTCTCCACCTCTATAAACAGGCCCAGCCATTTCCAGCCTCGTGCAGGCTTGAAGACCTGCAAAATGCTGTTCATTACATCTCAGGACTTTACAGTACACTTCAGACACCCTGCATCTTCCTTCAAACACCTCTACCCGCATTGATGCCCATCCTTTGGAGGACCCCTCATCCAACACCTCTGTCCCAGAATAAGCTCTGTCCCTGATTTACCTCCACCTAACTTCTCTGTGCAGCTGCCCTATATCCCTGCAGACAGCCCCAGAGACATACTGGGTTTCAGACCTCCATCATGCAACCTTAAACAAAAAAGGCAGTGTAAATTGGGCTCATTTTCCACTGGGGAAGGCTTAGCTCAAGTCTTATCTATGCATAAATGGGGGAAAAGGTAGCCTTCAGACCAAACAGAATACTGAGGAATATTATATTTATTCTTATTTATTGTCTGCTTCTTGCTGTTCCTTCTCTTTTTGCCTCACTCCTGCATTGTGTGGTGACCCTATCTAAACATTAGCCATCAGCCCCTGTTTTCAAATCTGTTATAGATCATCATAGCCCAGGCTAATAAAGAAAGCTCACATAAGCACTGCAGGCTGTATTCTTTCCAGCATTGCAATGAGCTACTGCAAACACAGCTGTCCTTCTGTGAATACTTCCTACTAACCTCATCTGGAGAACACCTCATCCACAGGTCTTGCTCTACCCCAAGAGCCCCAGGGGAGGTTGTTCCTCACCTACTTTTTAGTTGAGAAGAGGCTTGCTGCCCAAGGGGCAGTATACAGTTGAAATGGAGATGGGAGCTCAACTGCAGAACACAGTCATTATGTGCAGCCCCTATTTCACTTGCTGGCTCATAAGCACATTCTGGGATCCCAACTCTGCTAAGGAGAACCGAAGGGTGACAAGATATAGCAACTCACCAACAGAAAGTCAAGGTATAAATGCACAGTACTACCTCCGATTTTGGATCTCACCCTCACAATCAGCTACAGTCTTCTGTGTGTGTTAGTGTAACTTCTGGAGCTCTGCTTTACCTGCTCTGACCTGAAACTGGGTACATCGGTCTCCTGCACAGAGCTGCCAATCTCCAGCCCACACCACAGCACGTGCATTCAAGGTCAGACCCTTCTCACCATAACTCTATGGTGGCACATTACAGGCAGGAGACAGCTGAGTTTTAGGGCTAATGGAAGGCTGGAGTATTTGTTCCTGAATCCTTGTCCCTGAAAAAAAAAAATTGTTGTAGTGGGCAAGCAGGAGCTGTCTGACCTATCAGGACAAAGATACAGTCAAAGGTTTAATATAAATTTATTTGCTAAAGATAAGAACTCTACAGTAAGTCAATACAGCTGATATACAGTAGGAGAGACAAAGTCTGTACAGCACATAAGACATGCAAAGCTCAAAGAGAGTGTGCTCTTCTCCCAACAAGGATAGGCGAGAAGAGTGACCCACAAGTCCAAAGTTTCAGTCTATTGCAGGATTTCTCTCCCCTAGAAGACTCTCAAAACATAGAAGCAATTTACAGCGAGATCCTAGAAAAGGAAATCCCTAGTTCTCCACAAAAGGACACTGTTGGTTCTCTTTATTCAAGTCACTCCAAGCATAGTTCCCAGATTTGAGGCTCCAGCTCAGATCCGCTGTCACTTCCTTCTTCTCCCCAAGGTTCTCTCCCAACACATGCCTCTTACCCTAGAGAAATTTTAAAAATAAAAATACAGCGTAAGAGAAGTTAACTGAGGGTTAGTTAATCCTCAGTAGAACACATAGCCGATTTTCAGGACATTCAGCTTTGGCTCTCTTGTGACCATGTCTGAGAGCGATGGACATCTTTCTACAGCCTAAAGTGAAAGGATGCATTGAAATAGGCAGTATCATGGTAAGGCCAAAGATACAGACATCAAACAAAACTTGGAGGCATTTATGGACCAGACAGACCCACAGAAAAATATGCAAGAAGTCACCAGGCTCTACAGGCTTGGGAGACCACAGTTCCAAACTGGGGCCCTATAACAGTGTCAGAAATTGAAGGATTTGTTAGGGGTTTTTTTCAGCCCATTCCCCCTCCCCCAGCATGACTCACTAAGCTTACCTGGCGAGGGGCAGGAGCACTGGGGGAATTATCATCTTGTAGGATGCTGAGGGGAGAGCGGCCAGTTCCACCAGATGTTGCCAGGATTTTGTTGTTGGTCTTGCGTTTCACAGGCTTGCTCCCTAGCGATAGACAGAAGCACGTCAGTGTATCACAACAAGGCTTGAGGGTCCTGGATTTTAAACACCTCCTGACCTTTATGATCTATCCTGCTTGCCTGCACAAAGGCTGTTATCCAAGGACTTCCAGGTAAACTGATCACAGAAAGATTGGAAGGGACCTCTGGAGGACATCTGGTTCAATGCACTGCTCTAGCAGGGCCATCTAGAGCCAGCTGCCCAGGAACATGTCCAGATGGCTTTTGAATATCTTGAAGAATGGAGACTCTGTGACCTCTCTGGGCAACCTGCTCCAGTGTTTGATCATCCTTACAGGGGAAAAAAAAGTGTTTCCTGATATTCAGATGGAGCCCCCCTGTTTCAGTTTGTACCCATTGCCTCTGGTCCCATCATTGGGCACTACTGATGTCTCAGGTCTCAGTCTCTCTTTGCAGGAGAGATGCCAGGCACAGAGGTTTCTGAAGCACAGTCTGTATTAGTGACTCTCAGCACCACTCAGTCATAGCACTTGGTTGTGCTTCCTGGCTTCACTCCCCAGCTCTTCGCAAGGGAAATCTCCAAGGCCCTGCTGAATAGGCCCTGACATTCACCTTCAAAGAGGTAAATTTACCTTCTGATTTTGACTGCAGGCTGAAACTGTAATTGTTCAACTTGTGTCAGAAATCAGCTAGACAAGAAAACAGTTCCCAAAAGGGCCTCCTGTTTCAGCTACAGAGCCTCAAGACTCTGTCCGAGGCGGTGGGAGCCAGGTGGACTAAAGGGAACAGCCAAGCTCAGTAAGCGAGCCAGACTCAAGAAGGCAACCAGGGAGTCCTGACCTACTCCCACCACGGGCTGCGCAGCCTCCCAGGCACACGGAGCCTCAGCTGTGTCACCCCCCCAACACCGAGCACTTACCCGAGGAGAAGCCAGGCCCAGCAAGGCGAACGGAGCCGAGGCCACGCTGGGAGAGGGAGGCCTCTCTACCTCTTCCTCCAGGGAGCTCCACCGGGCCGGCTCCTCGGCGGGGCAGGCCGCTGCCGGTGGCATCGGCTCCTGGGATTCAGGCTCAGTCCCAAAAGCCTCGCTGAGCTGCTTC